GGTTTTGGTTTTGGTTTTGGCCAAATTTTACGACAACACAGTATGACACAACCTGTAAATTTTGCGCTTTATTTAACACGGCAAATGACAAATCTGATTCCATTTAATGATCGTAAAATCACTCATCAAACGCTGTAAATTGTAATGTAATAGAAAAATAATAAGCGACTGGGATGCATCGAAGATGTTATCATCGTAAAATTCGAGAGTCGTAAAACGAGAGTCCTTCTGCCGGCAGAGGGAAATCCTGGCGTTAGTTTTCACACCCAAAAGAGTGTCGGCTCGGCGGATGCAAAGCTCTGGCATCATTACACTTGAGTGTTTTACAACTTCCGTTGAGTTGCGTCGAGTTGAGTTGAGTTCGCCCTGGCCATAAAGCGTAATCTTCATGTTTTTATTAGGATGGGTGGGCGATGCGATGCGTTGCTATGCGATGGGTTGTCAATGGCACTGAGGACATCAAATTGACAGCTCCTTGGAGTCGTAAAACTCAGCCACTGTCTGGTACATATGTTGGGGGTAATGATTGTCACCGGCTAAACAATTAAATCGAGGTTAGGAATGGCGCATAAAAAGCGCATAAAAAGGACATAAACACAGACCCTCGCCCATGACAATGATGATAATGATAATGATTATGATGACGATGACGATGTCGTCAACGCATCGTAAACATTTTAAGCCACAGTTTATTTTCATTTGGAAGGGCTAAGAGTAAGAGCCGAACATGACCCTCGTAAAACTCTGCTGATAAGACACTCGCCGCTGGTAATGATAATAAAATTATAAGTTACTCCCACATATGCTGCGAACATTTGGGTCTCTGGAGCACTTCACTTCGGGGATTCCCCCGTTCGCCCGCTGTAAAGTGCTCTAATCAGCATTTAAAATTAACTAAATGCCCGCCTCTTAAGCCAAACTTGATGAGTTTGGCCTTTGGCCCGCCGTTTCTCCTTGGATCCTTGAGTTCTCGAGGCTGTAAAACCTGGCCAAGTAGGATAGTATAGTACAGAATAGTGTGTTGTTGGTGGCCCATTAACTGGATGGAAGATGCGTTTTTCATGTAGCTGCAAATGGCTGGGGCATGTGGCATCTTGAGATGGGGCCATAACATTTGAGTGTGTGCAAAGTGACATTTGATTGCTCTAGTTTTAGTTCTACTCGCCTGCTTGGTTGAGATGGAGATGGTGGAATGTGCTAAGATGCTGGATTCGAATTGGTATTAATTGACAGATATATGTGGAGTAAAATGCCCATTAAAATTAAGACGGAAGTTCCTAATTTAATTTGGCTTGAATTAAATGGTTTTTTGCTCAAGTAGTTAAACGGAAATAAATGTTTTTGTTGCATCTATTTGAGAAGAATTGGTTTAGACATGGCTCTTTGACTATGGAAAATGTACTATATATTCTGTATTATCTTAGATTATTCATTTATTTAATAAAGTCCCCAAGTAAAATATTTAATATATATATAGGTTTCTCTTTAAAAAAAAAATGGATTAATTATTTATTTAAGATTGAACACTTCTTGTTTTCTTTTTTTAGTATTAAAAGACATTAGCATCATGATAAGTTAGATTGTGATCTAAAACAATTCAATATTGATTTGTGATTTGTTTAAAACCTAGTTTTTAGGATGTAAGACTATTACGAATATCGTATTTAAGTTTCATTTTGGGCCCCATTATCTTATGGCACTCTCCGGTCTTAATTGAAGTCCCAGTCGTCGAGTGCGTAACACCCACTCACATACACTCTCACATACTCACGCATACTCGCACAGTGCAACCCCACAAAGGGAAGCTTACTTCCGCCATTTTCTATGATGAATTGCTACTTTGGCTCAGAACACGCACACCATCTCGCCGAAGGGAAGATGCGCAGACGGGAGACAAGGACGGAGATGAGCCGAGTACATCCAGGAGCTGAAAAGGAAAAGGCGGAAAGCGGCGGACGAGGGACAGGACCATCTCGCATAGATACACATTTATCCAGCTGTCGGCGGCGATGACAGCGCGGGGCGAAAAAAAGGAGTGCAGGACTCCGAAAAGGACTCGCTGGCGGTAGTTTTCCCGAGACTTTTCCCAGGCAGGTGAAACACTCGCCGAAAGGGACACGGGAAGTGCACTTTGGACACGGGACACCCACACATCGGGGTGCTTTTTCCGCTTATTTATGTCTGGCAATCATAAAGCGCGCTGAAAAGAGAGCGATATAGCGGCGAGAAAGAGAGAGGGCGGGCGTGTGCAGGTTATGGCCTTCTATAACTCAGAACTGGGGGCGCCCAGGACCCGGAACTCAGGGCTCAGGACTCAGGATTCAGGACTCACATAATGCCGCCTCTTTCTGGCCAACGTTTGCGTCCACTTTCGTTGGCTGCTGCTGATGTATTCCATACAAATTGCAGGTTTTAGTGTTTTTATTTTTGCCCTCCGACGGGGGTGAAATCCAGAATCGTGTGCCAGAGTGGGTGGCTGGGTGGCTAAGTGGGCGGCCGAGTGGGTGAATGGTCGAGTGGGCAGGCGCATCATCCATCAATGGCATTTGCGGCAAGGACAGCGGCGAATGCTCTCGGTGAGTGCTTCTGACGTTTTTGTGTCGCAGACACAACAACACTAAAAGGGGGCGGGGAAGGTCCAGAATTTGACTAGCATCCCCCTTTATTTTGTTTTTTTTTTTTTGGGCGAAGTCATGCGGCGAAATTTGTTCGATTTTCGCTGCAAAACAATGTCAAAATCTGTGCACTGAGGGGAAAAATATGATCAGATAACCTTTATTAAAAAGGTTATTTTGGCGTTTAAAGCCGAAAGCTATACAGTTTAAGTGTATTTTAAATCGTATAAATAAATCTTCTTTTCATCATATGTGTGTACATATGTGTGACAATACTAATGGTTTGACTTAAAAAAATCACTTCGTAAAATAATTACTAGGGAATAATAGGGAAATATAAAATATATTTGGACTTTATGACTTCAACTAACTTGACAAATAACTTTTGAATATGGAGCCAAATTTCAATGAAAAATAGATTACAATTTATAAAAGAGAAATATAATAATGAGAAAAATACTTAAGCCCCATTATTTCAAAAGGTAAGACTTTGTTCTGTACATTGGAAAACAAGGAGCATTTTATTAAAAACTTTGAAATAGTGTATTTATATTAAGCAGCAGCTGGAATATACATATTTTATTATACTTTAAGTTGGGTCTAATTTTAAGTCCTAGAAAAATTCACAGATACGTTAAGTAAAACGGAGTTTAAAAGCCAGGTTCCTGATTTAATTCTGGCTTCAAAATTCCTATTAAAGTTGAAATTGTATTTTGCTTTGTGTATACAAAAAATTCAAGCGTTTTAGTTTCTCCATTCCCTTTCTTTTTATCCCTTTTCCTTCAACGGTTTTCTATTCCGAACTCCTCCCTTGAACGGTGCCCGCTATTTGTAAAATAATAACATAAAATATGGCTGGCCTTGAACAATTTACTTTTATTTTATTTTTATTGCCCAGCCTCCATTGAAACTCCGCTTCAGCATGTGAACCGCTCTTTCCTCCCTTTCTTCCTGTGTGTGTGTGTTGTGTGTGGGTTGTCTGCATTGTTGTTGCGACTCGCTTTTAGCTTCATTAAATTTATGTTGCAACCAAACCCCTCCCCCCCGCCACACTGGCCCCTTTTCACCAAATATCCTGGGCCTAGTTGCACGTGCCGCGTGGCCGTAAAACAGATCGTAAAAGTTTATTACTTGCGGCTTTTGTTTGTTACTCTCTGTGTATGTGTGTGTGTTTGTTGCTTTCTCTCTGTCTGAGTGTGTGTGTGTGTGTGTGGTACTCTCTCTTTTTCTCTGTGTGTGTGAACCGCCGTCGCTGTCAGCTGTCAAATTGAATTTGTTTATATTGCCAACAGCTCGCCGCTCCAACAGGTTTCATTTTCACTCCCAGCCGGAAATCATTGGGTCATGCTGATATTTTGTATTTTAACACCCCCCACCCAATGCCACGCCCCCTTTTTTCCGGCCTGTCATCCTCAGGCTTTGTGTTTAGGCTGCAAAAGTCGATTTTTGTTGGTTTAGGTCAGTTTAGTTAGCTGGCTTTGACAGCTCAAAGTCGAGGTCAACTTTTGTATGCCCATCATCAGTTGTCTCTCTGTGTTTGTGTGTGTGTGTGTGAGTGTCTCTGTGTGTGTGACTGGGTTTCTCTGCTTGTGTGTGTGTGGGTGTGTGTAAGGATATATTTATGGGCCGCTGGTCGAGACGCGACCCATCGCTGCGACGCGTCCTTGTCAGTTGCCAAAAACATAAAAAATCGATTTTATTATAGCCGTCAGTCTGGGCCGTCTATATAGATTTTCTGTCACTGCTGATATTGCTTTTGTCTGGGTGTTGTCCTCTGTGTGTGTGTTAGTGACAGGCTTAAATTTCTGACTGGCTCCGTTAAGTTAGGGCAATGGTTTAAAGTCCCCAAAGAGTCCACGGAGCGTATACGTAATACATGGAAGGGGTTCTTCAAAAAGAGGTTCAAGTCAATACATTGAAAAGTTGCTTTACATGTTTTATTATTATTTAGTATTTATTATTTTAATACCAGTATTATTTTTTTTAGATCTACGGTTTTATAAACTTAAAAAGTTTTTAACTTAAAAAGTGCAAATTTTTGTAAATATCACTATAGTAAACAAATCAATAAAATATGAAAATGTATTCCCTTACTGTAGTAAAAGAAAATAATGAAATACATATGTATGTAAAAATAAAATATTCAAATTATGACATCACAAAAAGTTATTCTACAAGTTTCGTTATCTTTTCGACGAAATAAGCCACCAAAGAGTACCAAACAACTGAGACCAAAACAAAAAGCATAAAAAACATAAACAAAATTAATCAAAAATTCACCCGCAGAGCAAAAGAGCGAACTAAAAGCTTGGCAAAGCTCACTTAATGAGAATTAATCAAGAAAGTTTTCTAATCGAAAAATGGGAGAACATTTTAGTCGGCAATATGTTGTCAAAGCAATGGAATGCAAACAAACAGATCGCGAGGCAGATCTACCAACAACATAGAGGGTTGGCCCATAAGGTGAGTTTTAAATATTACAAAAACGTATGCAAGTTGTGTGAATAATAATGATTATTTTTTAAAGACCTCTACGATGAGATTGGAGGAGGCGAAACCCTATGCTGATATTCCGGGACCAAGCAAATTGCAATTGATACGAGCTTTTCTGCCGGGCGGTAAGTGAAAGAAAAGCTCTCCAGTATTATCTCTTTACGAGATATTTGGAGAGCCGCCGATCTTCTAATATAATTTTTCTCTTCAGGTCGCTATAAGAACTTACCGGTTCACGAAATGTTTCTCGATATGAACCGTCAATATGGCAGTATCTTTCGGATGCCCAGTGTTGCAGGAACCGATATGGTGCTCACCATGAATCCCCAGGACTATGAAATTGTTTTCCGAAATGAGGGTCAGTATCCGCATAGAAGGAGCTTCGAGGTAATGGACTATTTCAAAAAGGTCCACAGGCGAGAGATATTCGATGGCTACGATGGTCTCACCTCAGGGTAAGTAAAATAAATGATTTCAGGATTCCAGTTTATAATTTAAAATATTTTCTTATACCTTTAGAAATGGTCCTGAATGGGGAAAGATGCGAACTGCAGTTAACCCAATTCTATTGCAGCCCCGAAATGCCAAGCTTTATATGAAGAATTTGCTGCAAATCAGTGATGAGTTTCTGGAACGGCAAGTAAAGTGGTTTTATAATATGATATATTGACATCCTCAATTTATCTTTAGCATCCGCTCTATTCGAAATCCTGCTACCCAAGAGATGCCAGATGATTTTGCCGTGGACATTCGCCATTTGGTTATCGAATCGATTTGCTCCGTCGCATTGAATACACATCTTGGTCTGTTGGGAGACCAACGTAATAATAAGGAAGTTCAAACGTTGATAGCTGCCCTGCAGGATGTGGTTGAGTTGGGTTTCCAACTGGACATGATGCCGGCTTTTTGGAAGTATTTCCCAATACCAAGTTTTAAGAAACTGATGCGTTCGTTGGATACCATTACGGACTTTTGCTATTTCCACATTGAGAATGCTCTGAAGAGGATCGAGGAGGACGCAAAAGCTGGAAAACCCACGGAGATCGGTTTGGAAAAAAGCCTGTTGGAGAAGTTGGCCCGCTTCGATCGTCAAACAGCTGTGATTATAGCCATGGACTTGCTGTTCGCTGGAGCAGATCCGGTGAGTTTTTTTTACTGAATTAATATATTTTAATTAGAGATATATTAAAAGGCTTAATCAGTCAATTTAAAATAAAAATCCTTTTCTCCGCAGACTCTAGTTTCCCTCGCTGGAATTCTGCTGAGTCTGTCCAAGAACCCTGACAAACAGGCTCGACTTCTGGAGGAGATCAGGGAAATATTGCCTAACAAGGACTCACCTTTGACCATGGAAAACATGAGAAACATGCCCTATTTACGGGCCTGCATCAAGGAGGGTATTCGCATGTATCCCATAGGTCCGGGAACTCTTCGCCGAATGCCGCACGATGTGGTCCTCAGTGGATACAGAGTGGTGGCCGGAACGGATGTGGGCACGGCAGCCAATTACCAGATGGCCAACATGGAGCAGTTTGTGCCCAAGGTGCGGGAATTTATACCCGAGCGATGGCTGCGCGATGAATCGAACTCGAATTCCCACCTGGTGGGCGATACTGCCACTCCCTTCATGTATTTGCCCTTTGGTTTTGGGCCAAGAGCTTGTGCTGGCAAGCGGATCGTGGACATGATGCTGGAGATAGCCATTGCCAGGTTGGTGAGGAATTTCCAGATCGGCTTCGACTATCCCATCGAAAATGCCTTTAAGGCGAAGTTCTTCGTGCAACCGAATATTCCCTTTAAATTTAAGTTTGTGGAGCGGAGTGGTTAAAGAAGTAAGGATTGTTATCCTCCTGTACTAGCTTTTATTATACACAAGTATTTGTTTATATTAAAACCAGTTTTTATTAAGCATGCCAGACATATCAATTTATTTATATATTTCTCTTGAACACTTAAGAAAAATAGTAAATTTGTCAGCATTTCTGATGTTGACAACTTGTACTAAAATTTAAACCTTTATTTCGCTGAGTGAGCAGCTCTTTAGCGTCTGGCTAAAGACTTTCGAGTGGTTCTGTTCGCATACACATGTCCTGGTCGGTGGAGTGTCCTCTTGAGCTCAGCACAGCAACATCCACTTGAGCCAACATATCTTTATGGCTGTTCCACAATAACTTTGGCATTTGCCGGGCATCTGAGGTGGACACTTGACAGGAAGGCGGCATAAAAAAATACTTATAGGTGTTTAAAAGGGGGTGGAATCTCAGTTGTCTGGAACATTTAAGAAAAAGACGTGTTAAGGTATTCCAAACACGATATTTTTAGCACAACTAATCTAAACTAAGTCATTTTATAACTAACAACATATTTAAACATTTTAAAAATATATAAATTTGTTAGTTGCTGAAATTTAATTAATATAAAAAATAAATTCATCGATCTACAAATTTTTGTATTAAAGCCCAGAAGTATGCAATGATTTTGCCAAAGATCACCAGAGGCGCCATCTATATATCAAACTGAGTACCATTTACAGTCTTCTAAACTCTTTTAATGCTAGTTTAAGGAGAAAATGTTATAAGCTTTAAGCCTTCAGTATGCCTAGCAATTTGTATGCTCACTCAACGGCTGCCTCTGCCTTTGCCATCCTTTTCAACCTATCAGACCATTCCTCGTCCTTCGTTATCGGTTGTAGTTGGACAAACAAATGCGCCGACATAAATAATGCAAGAGTATTCATTTTGACATCGAATAGACAAAGTTGCATTGAATTTTCATGTTTGTTCCTCTGGTTCTTTTATTTCTTTCAGTTACTTGTGCCGGGTCTTATCTGGCCCCCTTGTTTTCCTGCTCCTTCACCATTTTGTGCTGGAAAGTCCTGCTCGTATGTCCTGGATTTTATGCTGCAGACCGGACTCACTCGTTGGCCGTCGTCTTGTGCATTATTAAAACTATTCTGATGGCGCTTCCGAGGATGGGGTCCACTTGAAATGTCAAAGCTGGGTCCGCAGCTCCTTGCTACTTTGCTCCTTGCTCCCGTTTTGCAGTGCATAAAGTTTTATCGTTGCCGGGATGGAAAAGGGGGATTCGGATTCCCTGCCCGCTGTTCTGTCACGTTTCCTGGCCAAGGACTCGCAACTTGTGCCCAGGACGAAATGCATTTGCAATTGCATAAATGAACAGCAGGAGAGGATGGAAATGGGAGTAAGAGTGGTGGTTGGAGTGGGAGTGGTGGTGGTGGAGGAGAGGCTACAGACAAAACGAATGGAATTCATTATTGGCCAGGAGATGTCCTGCCAAAGGTAGGGGGCGTGGCCGAGGTGCTGGCCTTTAAATTGAAAATGCATGTCAAGTATCGGCTGCACACACAAATCACAGTTTCAGCGCGCATTTCGCAATTTTCGTTGTTGGATTTTCGGGGGCGGGGCGTTTGCACTTTATGACATTGCACCACCCCTTACCCGCAACCTCTGCCCCCTCTAAAGCCTCCAACAAAGCCCCCCTTTTCCTTTCAATGCCCATAAAGTGAGCAATTAGACAATGTCCCAGCCTACTCCGCCCCCTACATCCTGCCTTTTGCATCTTGGCAATCGAAATTTTGGCATTTCGCATTGAACTTTGACTTGCCATCAACATGAGGGGCTGGCGAAGTGCACAGTGAGAAAATATCTTATATAGATTACTTAGTATGGATAGCGGTTGTATTAAAAAAGTTATATTAAACCTTATTTTTGAATTAACTACATAAAATGGAAATTAAATTGCTTTAGTTGCTTTTTTCTTAACGTAGCCTCTTTTTCCTTTGTAGTATTAAAATGGCAACAAATTGTTTTGAACTATTCAACAATATTTAAAACCATTTTTAAAGAATTAAAATTTCTGATGATATTTGATATGATATTTGGCAATTGTGATACTAACATTTAAATTTCCTGTATTTTTGTCACGGTATTCACTTTCCGATTACCCCTCCGCCTCCGTGTGCCAGATCTTGTCACATGACATGATGGTCGTCCATTGCCGAGCTGCCAATTTGCAACAGCACGGGCGTGGCAAACGGACCACGTCTAATGATGGCATACATAACCTGACTTCCCCTGAACGCCTCCGACTTGGCCGGGCACACGCCCACGCCCACGTCAGGTCCTCGTTCCTCGGTCCTTGGTCCTTGGTCCTTGGTCCTGTTCCTATTCCAATTCCTGGTGCCTGTACCCGGTTGCTGGTCGTTGGTCGTTGGTCCTTGGTCCTTGGCAAGTGTCATGTCACACAACGCACTCGGCTGGCTTGTCAATTTTCGCAGCTGGGCGTGGCTGGAAGCCGAGAGCATGACTTGAGCCCCAGTGGCAGGCATTAGCATGTTCCACAGAAGGCAGAGTTTAAAGGAAAGGAAAAAAGTATCAACATCGCAGTGCAGGACAATCGGCAGACACCCCACCCACACCCATACCCACACCCACATCCAGATCCACACCCACACCCACACCCGAGTATCCACCCACTTTCCACCCCCGGGATGGCGACCCGCCCTGACAGGCGTCCATGATTAATGGTTGTCAATGGCATTCCGCTCGGATCGGATCGGATCGGAGCGACTCGGTTGGGCTTGACTTGGCCTGCATGCGGAAAGTAATTTTGTTATTTTAAGAAAAGCCCTCGCAGGCTCTAAGGATTCTGTTTTGCAGGAAATTGATTCCCCCCGCGTTTTTCCCTTTTTTTCCAGACCGCTGCCGCAGGAATTCCCCAACAAGTCGCAATTTCGCAACCTTTTGCACCCCGCGAGGCCCGCAGAAGAAAACAAAATAAAATAAATAAAAACCAGGGGCTAGATGGTGTTAATGGCATTGGAAATTTGCGTGGGGTGCGGCGGTGGAAAAAATTTAATTTATTATTTCGAAAAGCAAAGCATTTCTAATCGAATTGTATTCCAAATATGCGTTTCATGGGAAATTGAAAAATTGCGCCCCAATTGGATGGATTTCCTCCCGAAGCAGATAATGCCGGCAGAAATTTGAATTGTTTGCTTTTTTTCGGGTGCGGGGTGCATAATGTCTATCAGATTGTTTGCCATTAATGATGCCTTGGGCAGGGGTTCGAACTTTTGATGAACAGGCACTTAGGGAAAATGACTTAAGTGATGGGAAACACCTAATCTGTAGTAAGTGTCAGTTACTTATTACCATATTTGTAGAGGTCTTTTTAAGTGAGTTCTTTTAATGATGCAAAAATGAAATGTAAAATAAATATAAAATAAATGCGAAAAAATTATTTATATATTACAGTAGAGGTCCTGTTTGTTAAGGTTAATTGGGGAGCTCTTTAATCCGCGCCCCTTAAAGCGCCCGCAGAAAGCTGCTGCTGTGTATATATTTTTATTAATTTTCCAAATGAATTCCTGACAACGACAAAAAGACAGTGACAACGATGACAACAACAGCAGGAGCAGCTGAAGCGGCGGGCCAGACAGAAAGCGAGTTATTCTGGTCGCCGAAGGATAACAAAAAAAAAATGGGGGCAGCCATTGTCGGCCAGTGTTTTCCCCTTTTAGCTTTTTCTGCCTTTTTTGGTAACTGTTGGCGACATTATTACGTTACTTACTTTACGCCATAAATGTTGTTACGTCATGGCAACCACCCACATGTGCGCTAAAAAAAGGCAAAACAATGAAATCAGAAGGAGCAGCAGGAGCAAAAGGAGCAGAAGGATGCGATGGCTGCCATCATTGTTATGTGAATGTGACGACTTTTTGACTTCCGCCACGCTGATGTGTTTCCGTTTCCTGTTTTATGCACAACTTTTGTCCGCCGCCTTTCCTTCGGCTCTTCCTTGCGCATCCTTTGTGTGCTTGTTTCTTTATTTTTTAAAATGTTCGCCGCTGATGAAATGTAGCCAAGGATAACTGCCTGACGATTTCACGCCGCGTTGAATTCTCAGCCCCTTTTCCCTAGGAAGTACCCTCTCCCCCCAAATCCCCCGCTCACCCCATCTATGTACGTGTATGTGCATCCTCAATTTCCCTTTTATGTTATTTTAATTTTATGTTATTGTTATGACACAATGAAAATAAATTTGAATTGACACTGATGTCCTTGCTTCCTTCTTTCGCCCGAGTTTGGGGTCCTGATAAGTGCGTATAAGAGAGAGCTCCCGAAAAAATGTGTGCGAGCGCCGGTTGGCAGTGACGTTTTTATTGCCCGGACACACGAAGTGGCCAGAGGGAGGAGGGGCAGAAGGAGGAGGTGGAGGTGAAGGAGGAGCAGGGAGACAGGATCACAGGATATTCAAATGGGCCATAAGTGCGGTTAAAGCGTTTCGCTCGCTTGACTAAATCTCAATCCCAATCGCCATGCCAATCCGGCACAGAAACTTTCAATTTTTGACGCTGCCAGCTGGCGACATGACCTCTCACCCCTCACCCCCTCCCTCCCCCCTGACTGTATATCCAACCTCCCCCAATCGCTGACAATATTATTTGTCGCGCAGGTTCAAAACAATATCATAAAGTAATTTATATGCCTGGCAGGACGAAGGACGAAGGACGAGGAGGAGGAGGAAAGCGGAGCAAAAGGGATCGGATTGGGGGCGGACTGCCTGCGATGATATATGGGCGAAATGGCTTTTTAATGACAACGACGACAACAGCAGCTTGTACAAATTACAAGCCAGCACACACATACCATACAGAGTACGGAGATTGTGATTGACCAGGACCTCCGATGTGCTGCTATTGCTGTTGTTGTCCGTTAATTTGGATTGTCTTTGGGCTGCAGCTGCCTGATAAATGGGTCACACGTACGGGTCCTGGTTTCCATTGGCTGAGTGCCTGAGTGGTGTTGTGACGGCGCGACTTCATCAAAACATGTCCTCCTAATAGCTCTGAGATTCTCATAAGTACATTGATTGCTGCTCAACAG